GTATGGAATAGCCCTTTGGCCAGTTTGGATCAACTATTCTGGCTGTGCCCCCTCCCAGCTTCTTGTGCACCTGGCAGAGCATGGGAAGCTGAAAAGTCCTTGACTAGCATAAGCAGTACTTAGCAACAACTAAAAACATCGGTGTGTTATCAGCATTCTTCTCCTACTAAATCCAAAACACAGCACTGTGCCTGCTACTAGGAAGAAAATTAACTCTATCCCAGCCGAAACCAGGACAGGGAGGGACTGCAGTTCCACACTCCTTGTCCATCTCCTTCATTCACCCTGGTTGAGTAGGCAGAAGCGCCCGGGGTTCGGGCGTGCTGCCCGTTGCCGGACCTCCAGCCTCCCGTACTGAGGGGTGCGCTCGGGGCTGAACGCGGGGCTCTCTCCGGAGCCTGGGTTCACGCTGTCGGTGCACGGCGGGCATCAGGGTCCCCAGGTAAGTGGCCTTTCCTCAGTCTCTCATCCAGCTGTAGGCCTTGAGCTTTGAATGTTCGTTCCTCTTGGTTCTGAGATAGTTGCGATGTTTTGCTGACGTCTTAAGATTAAAAACATTGTTTCTGAAATACTTACAAGTATGTCTGTTATGTTATAGGCTTTTGAGCTAGCAACTGGAGATTATTTGTTTGAACCGCACTCTGGTGAAGACTATTCCAGGGATGAAGGTATGACTCGTTTGAGATATTCTATGAGTTTCCATATATTTTCACACTCCTCTTCTTAAATTTCCAGTGAGCTTACAATGGGATTAAGTTTTGTATTTGAGTGAACTGTTCATACACATTGTTTTCAGAAGATAAATACGGTTTTTTTCTTTTTAGTTTTAAGTTCCACCACTAGCAGTGGGTGGGCAAAAACTCCCTTCTGCAGATACTCATCTACTTAACAACTGCCTGAAGGAATTAAACTGCCCTTCTTGTAAGATTGCATATGTGTGGAAACCTGATTGAGAATAACAACATTTTAGTTTAGAAAAGAAACAACATATTTGAACTTTATAGTATTTTCTCTTTATAAGAGTGACACTGGAATAATGTTTACATTGTGTATTTTTATTTGAATTAGGCAATTACTAATTTTTTTAAAATCAGAATTAACTCCTGCTTCCATCTGTATACCTGTCCATTTTCATGCTTGTTTGCTTGTAAATGCTCTTTGCAGTGGTAATGTGGGCATCATTCATTGTTCCTAAATGCTACTAATGATGCCAGAGCTGTGCTGATCCTGGAAACCTCTGCATGGATTTGCTGCAAACATTGTTGATTTGAAACTATTTCTGATTTTTTACTAATTCCAGTTTCTTTCCTCTTCTTTTTTATCCCATCCTTTCCCTGCCCCTTCCACTCCCGTATCCTTTTTTTCTCTCCCTCATAGACCATATAGCACACATCATAGAGCTGCTAGGCAATATCCCAAGGCACTTTGCTCTATCTGGAAAATATTCTCGGGAATTCTTCAATCGCAGAGGTAGTACCTCTTCTTTTTGAAAGGTGCCGTGATGCAGACAGAAGTGGAATAGCAGTTGCTGGTTGTAGCATGTCCCACTGAGGAGCATTTCCTGAAATCGCACAACAAAATTCCTTTTTGAAAAACAAAATACGCAGGAATCTGTGACAGTGACAATGTTTTTTTTTTAGCTAAACGTTCTGAAAAATTAACTATTGGTACATTTTAAATTACATAGAAAAACTTGTTTGTAGCAGCTGATACTCAAATGTCATTTTGAGAAGGAAGTTTCGCTGAAAGCATCTTTCCAAATTAGCCACTGAGCAGTGCACAGGTGTCTTTTTTACCAGGATCGATCTATTTCTGTCTGTACCGGGCCAGTGTTAGTGTGTGCATGCAATGTACTGATTAAACTGTTGTATGTTTCTGTTTTGCTGGCAATGTTCTCCAATGCAGACCACATAGCATTGATCATTGAACTGCTGGGAAAAATCCCTCGAAAATACGCTATGTTGGGGAAATATTCCAAGGAGTTTTTCACCAAAAAAGGTAACGGTATTTATGCAACACTAATTTAAAGCGTAATACTATCCAAAAGGAGAATATGTTCATTTATGGGTACTGAAGAAATATATCCGTTTAAATGGAGAGCTCTTATTAAAGAAGAATTTTTGGTGTAAACTTGGCTTTCTGAGAAAAGCCACAATTTGCAGTATTCATTTCAATATTTCATTTAAAATTCATTTTGGGATGTACTCAACAAAGTGTGGATGCTAACAAATGTCTGTGTGAATCTGTTGTCCAGTGTTCATGTAAATGTAAAGAATCAAGTGATGCATAGCTCCTAACGTGATGAGAAATCATCTGTCAACTACTGCTGATCATATCTAGTGGTCCAGCAGATGCTGCTGATAAGGAATAACCAAGGTGGGAAGGGCATAGCTGGGTGACAGACACACAGCTGCGTGCAGTCAGTCCTCACACTCTTGTAACGTCCCTGAAGAGAGAGCATGCCGAAAAGATCACTCTGACAGAGCGATGGAGGAAGCCGCTCTGCTGTGCGCTGCGCTGTCTCATCTCAAACGCTCCAAATTACCGTAATGCCCGAGCGCCACAGCCACAGGCGATGCCTTAGCTATGTTTGGCGTTGTACGGAAGTGCAATCCATCTAAAATTCAAACGCTTGTCAATTGCTATGAGAAAGCAATTAATCTGAGCAAGCGCACTGGGCCTTACAGTTCTTTTATCTTTTTGTCTTTGCTCAGGCTGCTCTTTGAGACAGGATTTGGACATGTGAGGGAATGTGGTGATGCTTCAAGTGTCTTTTGTCCCCTCCGTGTATGAGACAGCACCGTGTTGTATTGAGGGACAGCGTATGTCAGGAGCATCCTGTTAAGTGGTGGGGGAACATCTGGGGCCATTGACCGCAGCTGC